TAATTGAATGGTGGAAAAAAAATTTATCGCTAGGGTTTTACTCCATGAGAGAAGGACTGTGGATGGAAATGGTTTTTACGTGGGCTAAAGAACTACTGGATTGCCAAAAGGATTATGGATTTCAAACTTCAAATTGGGAAGAAAATGGACTTTGGGATGGGTTTTTGATTAAGGGTTTGTTTGGATCAGATTAAAATCTGATTTTAAGCCAAATTAAAGTCAAACAATCAATATTAACCACATCTTTTATGAGTCTCACATCTTTCAACTACACATTTCAAAAATTTCTATTAAAATACACTAAAAATCTAATTTTAATCCTCACCAAACATACTCTATATGTGTACTTGAGGTCCTTACCAATGCTTACTAATAAACAATAAATTGCAACACATTTTTTTAGACCTACGGGACCCTAAATACTTTGGCATGAGGCAGTCGCCTCTTAAGCCTCATATAAATTCCTAGCCGACTTCCTAGTTTAGTACGGAAGAAGGGAGCAATTAGGAGCGTTGTTGAAAATACAAATTTTGAAGGGTGACATGAGACATGACCTCCAACCAGTGTTTTAAATAGCGGGAAATAGCGTCGCTATAGCGCTCTAAAGCGCGGAGCGCAACGAAAACGCTCCGCTTCGGGGTATTTGAGTAAAAAAGCGGTCAACCTTTTTTGTTGACCGCTATAGCGTGTTATAGCAAGCTTCCCTTAAAAAAAAAATCTATTTTTTTATATAAAAATATATTTAATGTCTTAAAAATAATATTAAAAATACGAAACGCATTATAACGCTTATTCTTCGCATTGACACGCTTAAACTTGTGATTCTTGATTCTTGGCCTCGACGCTACGCTACGCTTTACGCTATTTAGAACATTGCCTCCAACCAATTAAAAAACAAAGTTTAACTTAACCAATTCATATATTGATTGTCAACAAGAGAATTTTTTTAATTTAACTTTCGCGTGTCCTTGTCATGATGCTCGTCATGCATCGTATAACGTACTTTGTAGTTTCATTTGTAATAATTTTATAGTTACTTTCATCATCAAAATAAGTTGTGCTGTCCAAAATCAGTCCTCGAGTATACACCACTCTTAATTGAATATTGCTAACACTAGTCCAAGATTATTGTTAATTTAAATATAAATGATATATTATGTTAAAGGAATAAATCGCACATCGGAGAAATACAAAAATATTAACCAGCACATTTATGCAGAGCAATGATGAAAATTAATAAAACATGAATTCTCTTACGTGTGTAGAAGTGTACAAGCAATCCCACTTTGACTATTATATGAATCACATAGAGATTTTGTTAAAACTGTATTAAAATTTGATACCTTTGTTCGATGAGTCGAAGTGATTTTGGATGGTTGTATAGAGTTATTCTACTTGTACAGGGTGAGAATGGCAAACGGGTTGGGGCAATCCGTCCCCACTCTGCCATGGATTTTACTGTCCCATTCCTTCTCTATCCTATTTATATTTTTTTGGGTAATTTAGGAATTGGTATAAAGGACTTGATAATTGGTTTTGGTTTGATCATAAAAGCTGGCTAACTTGATTTTGCACAATTTTAAAATTCGTTTTTGAATAACAAGATAATCATCATGACTGTTCCCCAAATCTAGACTCGATAATCGTTGGGCTCGACCCACAATGAGAGCCAGCACACTCTCGTGTGAGGCTAACCAATCGCAAGCTAGCTCACTTCAACGAAGGTTGGCTCAGCTCACCCTACGAGCTCAAGGATTGTGTGCCTTTTTTTTTTTTTTTTGGAAATTACACACACTCCCCGAAATATAATGAAGATGTAATATTTTAAGGAAATTGTAAATCTAAAATAATAATAAAAACACTCCTTTATCCATGCTTAGAACTGGCTATAATACGTAGACGTAATTAAAATTGTACATGAATGAGTATTTTGTGCACAGTTTAAAGATATATATATCAATGTATAAATAAAATCTAAAATATAATGTAACAAAAAATCCGTGAATGCTATAAGTGGTGAAAATCTTAAGCAATTGCACTGGTGACCTTGTCATGTATTCGGTAGTCTGCTTCTTATCATCCTTCAAGCACATTATAAACTCAAATATATCTTCTTTCAACTTGCTGCTTTTGTCTGAAAGACACTAACGAGTACTCTAAATGTAGCCTTTGGTACTACAGTTGATATCAAAGGAGTTAGTAGATCACGTGTTATCAAAGATAATATCGGTTCAAAATTATTTATCGAGAAGAATGTAGTATGAAAAATATCTAGCTATCTCTACAAGATTTTATTTTGTTTGCTGCTAATACTATAAGAAAACCAAGTAGATGATGAGCTTCCTACGGTTTTCGTACTTAAATAGGCTCATATATTGTCCTCACAAAATGATGAAATAGTAGAAAAACAATGTTGGTGTATCATTATTTTTACCCTTTTTATAGTATATTATGAATACAAAGCGAACGAAGTACTTTCTATATTACATTTTGTAATGGCGATATCAAATATTAATTGGAAAGCAATTTTTCGATAATATATTTACAAACGTATAAGTTAATATGAGGGTACATACGTGTAGTTAGAGAAAATAACATGAACAAGTATTACAAATATTTATGGAATTTCATCTACAAACAATCTCTTTATTTATTTAACTTTTTTGCTATATTTAAAAAATGGGTTAGAACAACTAGAGCTATGGGTAGTAGACACTCGAGCACGCATTGATCATATCGAAAAAAATCTTCAAAATTTCATTATCTTGAAAATAACTAACTAGTCATTAGAATCATCGCAATAACGTATGAATGCCTACATTATAAAATTTAATAATAATCATACATTATTTCACTTGATTGTAACATAAGATAAGTAGGGTTCCACCTATTACTTATATCCATTACTCGTCTATGGTCGTTCACTGCTTCAGTAGGGGTAGGCACCTCTAATTTGGTGGAGATAGTGTTTCCAACTCTTACCATCAGGGTACCGGTTGCCGATTCACTTACATTCTAGAGTTGGGACCAACGCTATTATCAAGAGTATGGATCGCTTGACCTACCACAGTGACTTCATGCTTTTGTACAGATTAACATATATGAATTTTCTAGTATAAGAGGATGCTGGTTTACTTCTCACTTGCTTTATTCGATAAGAAGTAGTACTTTTCTATTTATTTAATTCTTTCATACGTTCATTGTTTTGTTTTTGGAAAGTCGAGTTTATCTCCCCCTTCCACTTATTTCGTGGTTTTGATTTTCTATACGGTCAGGAAATTCTAACCCCCATCAATCTTCCTTAGTGGAGCATGAAAATTCACAGAGTCTGTATTTATATTTTACTAAAAGAAATATTAAAGTCATCTTGCATAATCAAATTATCAATATGACAAACACAATATACGTGAAAAAGTTTTGAATAAAAAATATGTGTTTATGTCAATTAGCACCCATTATCACATTTTGTTTTAAGCTATTTTTGTTCAAATATATAATATATTAAATATCACATCAAGTAAGAATCATTTTTTGGACAATTTTAATCATATTGCAATTCAATTATTTTAATAATGTCTTACTTTTCATTTTTCTATATGTAATACATACTACGAAATCATTGTCATGTATGAATTTCGTGTTATTATTTCTCAATTAGTTAATCTTCACATTAATCTAGACTCAATGAATCTTGATTTGATAAATCTTGATTTACATGAATCTAGAGTTATTATAGATAAATTTATTTATATTCATATATCTAGGAATTTTAATGGACGTTTCAATTCATGTATTAACAATAAATTCTTATGTACTAAATGTAGTATAAAAATGTTGATTTAATCATGACAAAATATTTGAATCATAGAAATTGAGTTTTGATAGTACAATTTTCCTCTAAAATTTCTATTCTAAATTTTATTTTCTTTAGTTCATTTAAGAGACTCGTCAAATTCTCGTAACAAATTGGTACGAAATATTACTTCTACAGCACTAATAAAGTATTTTAGATTAATGTGTAATTCATGTTCAAATCTGACTAGTAGTCATAAAAAAAGCACTAAAAGCCTGTTTGAGTTTCATTTTTTGAAATAATGCATGTTTGAATAGTAGTTCGACAGAGAATGTTAGGTTAAAAAATAAGAAACAGATTTTGGTTTACATATAATATTATTTTATTGAAAAATATGTGATTGAAAATGAGAGAAATTAATGTATTTTGAAAATAATGAGAACCAAATAAGGACTAAATATTATTAGAACATTTAATTTATTTTAATCAGTGTTCTAAAAAACGAAAAGTGTGATGAAGCGTGGAGGTCGAGCTTCGGCCTAGGTGAGTTTTGGCGAAGCCTAAGCGTTAAAAAACGTAAGAATCGTTTTCTTATTTTAAATTTTTAAATCAATCTAAAAATTACTTAATAATTAAAAGAAAAAAAGCGTAAAAAGCATTGAAAAGCATAAAAAAGTGCGCGCTATGCACTCTTAGATATGAAAAAAAAATATCAAAAATAAAATATAATGAACAAGCGCGAAGCCAGGCATTTTGCTCTTGTTTTGAGCCCAGGCGTCACTTTTTAGAATACTTTTAATAAGTCATAATGCATTAAGCTGGGCATCGGCTCTCAAATAACTTTTCCATGGTTGAAGTCCTGAAAGAGAAAAGAACAGAAAAAAAAAGTTGAAAATCATTAAACGAAAATTATTCGTAAATCACGAAAATTATTTTGTCCAACTATGATAATAAAGAGTTTTATTAAACGAAAATTATTTCTGAATATGTTGCAGTTATTTTGTGAAATATCTTAGTAGTTAGTACGAATGAAATCTCATATCTTGCACCACGTCCAAGAGAAGTAAAAAGTTATAACTCTTAATTATTATTATTTTTTTAAGTATTATAAAAATGATTTTGTAATTTTACATTGTATGCATCTTTTTCCTAAATTATACCTCGAACGAAATTTAAGGGTGTGTTTGGTGGCTTCGAAGTGAACTCAATGAATGACTGTCAAGAAGAGTTGCAACAATACTGGCATAGGGTTTGTGTATTTTTGTTATTGCACCAATATTGGCATAAATAATGTTAGGATAAAGCTACTTGTACATAATTTCTTATACATAAGGGTGTCCACCCTCTCNGTCCACCCTCTCACATAGGGTGGACCCCACATGAATAAAATTCTTTTTTTAATCATGCGGGGTCCATCCCATACGAGAGGGTGGACACCCTTATGTATAAGAAATTATGTACAAGTAGCATAGTCCATAATGTTATTGATTAGCACTGCATATAAGCAGTAATGTGATATTTGAATGATTTTAATTTATTTGTCATCTTAAATATTACAATAATATTGCATATTCATTAGTATTGCCTATCCATAAGCAGTGAAACATTTAGATGATTTTAATTAATTTATCATCTTAAATATTGATAAGCACTATTTATAAATAGCGTTTTTCTATTGGCATTGCTTTTTGAATGTTGGGAAGTGAGCCTTTTTTATGAATGAAGAAGAAATTAATCTTCTATTTAGTTCTCTTCTGTAAATTTAACATTTAAAGTGCGTGCTAAGTTGCACGTGAGGTTTTAAAATATAGTGTTTTCATCTAATTGAAAAATAGTTTTTCACTTTATTCTAATGCAGAATGAAATTCAAAGATTTTAAGGAAATCTTTTACCAAGGTTTTGAGTATTAAATAACTAAAAAATTGTTACTATTTTGATTGAATAAAACAGATAGAGTCTAAAACACCACAAGTCTAAAAATTCTAGACTGAGTGCTAATGTTTAATTACCATCAAAATAAAGCATAAATGTGGAAAAAGAAGGTAAATGATTAAATTGCATAAATTACACAAAATGGGATAACTAATTCAACCGCACTACAATGATAGGGTCGATGACCGACCCAAAAACAGGGGGTCGATGTGGCTTCATCTCGACCCTTGATAAGAATTGCAACAGTAAAAATCAAGGCCACCTCGGCCCCTGTTTTTTGGTCGGTCACCGACCCTGTTACACTAGCATTTTTGTAATTAATTTAGCCCTTGTTTGGTAGATTTTTTTTTTTTGTTTAAAATGTTTATTTGAAAATGAATTTGTGAAAAAATGAGTTTTTAATAAATGGGGGCCAAGCAAGGGGTTTAGTATTATTTTGAAACATATTATAGATTAACGACCTTTATTAATGAAAATGATTTAGATGCAACTTAATAATTGAAGGCCTTTATTGATGACGAGAGAAGGCAACATATCATTATTTTGTTAGTGAAGTTTAGTTGAATATCAGCGTGTTTTGGACTTGAATCAGGCACTGGACAGTCTTCATTTCTTAAGGGCATCACATTGGCTTCCAAAAATCTTTTATGATAAACATTTAGAGTGTGTTTAATTGACTTTATTTTTCATAAAAAAAATGTCATTTTTTCCATTCAAATCCTTACTGTTGGTGTGTTCGATTGACAATTTTTTCATGAAAAATATTTTCCAACTTTTAGTCACGTGACCATATTTTCTTCAAAAATAAGAAAAATATTTTCTTTAGGAAAGAGTAGTTTTTATTTCCAAATAATTCATTCACTCTCTCTCATCAACTTACTAGTAAAAAATAAACAAGTATAATATTTTTCTAAGTTGAAAATTAAATCAATCAAACATGTTTAATTAATAATTTTCATACAAATAAGTTATAGACAATTGAATTGCTTAAAATTATTTTATTTCCATGCAAATTACATGCTCATAATCAAACGCGCTCTTATGGTTCAAGTTTGACTGTTGGGACTCAACCTGGCCTTGCAGGTTAATGTACTGGGAAGTCATTAAGCTAGCCTATGGCTAATCCTTGTTGCTACGCTCCTTTAAAGTCGACTCAATATAGAGACTCATCACGATCTTTACAAGCAAATAGAACTCCAAATTGAAGATTCCGTTTTGTATCAAAAAGGCTTTTGGCCTTGAATTCTTTCTATTGAAGTGTAATGTAAATAGCTCCTCACGTTGAATTTCTTGGCTTGGCCTTCAAAGAAACTCCGCCAATCTCTTATTTGATCAACTAGATTATATGACTTACCCTTGAAAGAGTAGAGATTTCTAATTTGGAATCCTTGAGGAATTAGTGAGTAAGATTATAATATTAATTCATTTGTGTTTCGAGAGCATTGCTCGCGAATATTTACAACATGAATTCATAAGATAGAAACTCCCTAACGAGAGGCGAATGTCCATTTTGAAGGTGTTAGGTAATAGGATAAATGATCGATTAAATAATTCCTCTTGTGTCTAAGCAAGAAAATTTTATATTATCTGAAAATTATAAATGTTTAAACCCAACAACACATATAGGAGGGTGAATAAGTGTATAACACGAAATTAAAATTAACAAATAATAATAAGAAATAAGTTACTAGTTATTGTTTCAAGATGATTAGTAATGTCTGTTAAAATTTCTCTGTGACTCGGATTCTGTTTTTGGGATATATTTGGAGTTGGTTGTTTGTTTTGGAGAAACCTTGAATAAGTAGAAGACTAAAAGGAGTCAAAGAATACAAAAGATGAACCCAAGGCAAAGAAGTTGCCGCAAATTCGTTGGTTGCCTGCTCAAGAGACCCTCTTGATTTTCAGGGTTTTGCAATGTGGCCAGTTTTCGGACTCTTATTTTAATTTGAATACTTCATTATTAGTTTTACCCGTTGTATTGAAATTTCAACTAATGTTAAACTCTTCATTTTATTAATCTTCCTAATATGTTAAGGATTGTTGTATTATAAATATATCGTATATTACACATATTAAATGGATCTAGATTAATAGAGAGACTTGCAGATGGAGAAATCCATAGAGTGAGATCAAGAGAAAGTCTTATGAGATCCAGCATAACTTATTGTAACTCCTTATTTTTTATACAGTGAATTCTCCTCCCTTGCCTATGATTTTCCCGTCTTGGATTTCCACTTAAATCTTATATTCTTGTAATTATTATTTTTGTCTTGCCCATTATCTCGTTTTAATACTCATAACAATTGACTCAAGTTCTAACAATGTTAATTTAAATCCTTATTGTCAATTAGACATATAGATATCAAAACATAAAAGTAAATCAACACCAATATATTTACGAAGGAAAACTCCTTAAAGAACTCTTCACATGAATAAATAAAAAATCTCCGAACAAACCATGTCAAGATGATCCATTAGAAAAAATGACTTACAGTTAATCCAGAAACAACTAAACATTAGTAGACTCTAATCACCCAACCTGTAAATCATCGAAAAATCTCTTCGATTGTGCCTCCAACACTTTCCAGTAACTCTGGACTTCTATTTCCACTGCGTGGATCACCAATAGCGAACATCATTCTTCTCTACCCAGAACTCCTGCTATCTCTCCAGAATTTCAGAACACTTAATTATTATTTTTAAATGATTGGGTTTATGATATTTGATCTTTTGTGCTTTAATCTCGTGGTTGATGCAAGAGATTTATGAATATGTATTTGATCTTTGTAAACTGTTCTCTTGAATCAATGAATGTCCAACCAATAATACAAGATACGTTTAGGGCGGACTATGGCTTGAGTATATATAGTATGAAGTGTTTGAAGTCGTTTGAGATTGTAAAATCTGTTGAAAATCACAACCTAGGGTTTGCCAGATATCAACACTGTTCGAGAGCCCGTCTTCTCAACCATCAAGTGGTCAGTCCACCACTCAAACGCTGAAGGTTCCGAATAATCCTGAGAGACATTTAACTCCAAATCCCGAGACATTTAAATTAAAGTTATCTATATGTTGCATTCTCTCAAATCTTGCTCAAGGATGAGATTTCTATCTCAACTCCAGACTCCTCCATAGCGAAGAAAGCAAAATCTATTTATAAATTGCTAAATACCTCTAATTGAGAAGTCGACTACATGCTTATTTTGTTTTTATTGAAACTATACTAGGTTGAGCATTTTATAAAGAGTTTCATGCCATTTTTTCATGTAAGGAAAAAAAAAAAACTATCAAAGAAGCCAAGCCTACAAATCTCTTCTTTATCAAGAAATCCACACCAAAACCACTCTCAAAGACCAAAGTTCATCTTTCCTTGTTTCATCTTTCAATCCTACAAGAACCTTTTCAAATATAATATAATAATATCTATCATGAAAATCAGCCAAGATTATGGCATAAAGTTTTGACAAGAATTGGTCCCCTCACCCACCCCCACCCCCACCCCCACCCCCACCCCCACCCCTCTACACCCGCACGGTCTATATTCTTACTCCCATGTCCATTACTTTTTACCAATTAATTTATTTTGGGCAAAAGGTACAGTTCTAGTATGGCCCAAAAGTCCCTATATACAAATTCAATAATCTCTCACAACTTGTTAACGTTACACCAAATTGTGCTATTACCAGATCAAGATACAAGTTCCATTGCATGTTGTACAATGACTTACTCATGCAACGAAATCATTCTCTCTCTCTCTTTGATAGTCATATGTAATATTTATTTTGATGGTCCGTACTCTGACAACGACCACTGAAAGATGGTGGCACATGCTTCCTGTCAAGTCATTTTTCTCTTAATGGTCAAGATTCCTCCACACAGTTTGATCAACGGATGTAATTCACTTTTCCCCAGATCAAGAGAGAGAGAGTCACTGAGCCATATGCATAGTATCAGCAATACACGGTATCAGATACACGCTCATATATCTTTCTCTGCTGGGGTGACTGTTATCAGGTCGACCTTGGTCGGGTGGACTATAAAAGAGAAGAAAATCACTCTGTTTCTTATGGAAAAAAATGTTGAGAGATAGCGATTGGTGAAGAAAAAGTTTCAAACTTTCAGCTTCAGCTACTGTAGCTCAAAACCCAGGGAAAAAAAAAAAGCAAACAAAAGGGAATTTTTTGTCAGTATTAACTATGGGTTTGTTGTTGAAGAAAGAGGAGTTGTTTGAGTTGGGTTGATTTTCTTGGATTTTGGGTTTATTAGTTGAAATCGGGTGTTTCTACTGAGCTTTTGTTTTTGTTTTCTTGGTGGGTTTGTTGTAAAATTAGTGATAGTGAAATGCATGTGAAGATTTGAATTGGGGGAGTAAAAGATGGGGAAGATGAGCGAAGAACTGGAGCTGAAAATGAGTTGGGATTTAGGGTTTGAGATTTTTGGGATTGAAAGTAAGGGTTATCATTCTCAGTATTTATAATTGTGTTCGTAAGTGTAGTTTTAGTTGTATTATTATATTATTGATCATATATTTAAGTAACGAGTTGAATTAAATATGAAGCTTTCAACATCAGGGATGGGTCAGCAAGTTCATGAAGGTACCTGTTATGTCTCTTCAGTGTTTACTTTTGCTCCTTGTTTTCTTTCTTCAACTAGATGCTCAAATTCTTATTCTGAGTTTAAAAGCAAAATTAAGAGAATTCAATTAATAATGGGGAATTGTTTGTTGACTGTGGGTTACGGAAGGGGAGAAGAAGTGCTTGAATTCCGAGCTATGGCACGCCTGTGCTGGTCCTCTGGTATCCCTGCCGACTATTGGGAGTCGTGTGGTTTACTTCCCTCAGGGTCATAGTGAGCAGGTCTTTATTATTAATCTAATTAAACTATGTTTTCTTCTTTCATTTGTTTGATTAAGATGGTATTCTATTTAAGAAATGACAGTTTCTTAGTTTGTAATGTATCCTACTTGAAAATGTTGGCCAGGTTGCTGCCACTACTAATAAAGAAATTGATGCCCACATACCGAATTACCCAAGTTTGCCACCCCAGTTGATCTGCCAACTCCACAATGTTACAATGCATGTGAGTTTTCAACTTTATCGTTACATTTGTGTATTCTTGTTGTGAACTTACGTGTCTGGAGAGTTCTTAAGCCATAAAAGAGCTTTGTTTATTTGTTAAAATTCAGGCAGATGTTGAGACGGATGAAGTGTATGCTCAGATGACACTGCAGCCCCTGACTCCGGTATTCTCATATTAGACTAATATTGTGTGATTCTTTTTGAACCTTCCTCTACTTATCATTGCAAATTGGTCATAGAACTAATGTTTTGTGATGTAAGTGCAGCAAGAACAAAAAGATACGTATCTTCCTGTGGAGTTGGGAACTCCTAGCAGGCAACCAACGAATTACTTTTGCAAGACACTGACTGCGAGTGATACTAGCACACATGGAGGCTTCTCAGTTCCTCGTCGCGCTGCAGAGAAAGTTTTTCCTCCTTTGGTAATGATTGTCCCATGATATGATTATTTTGACACATGCATGCGGTAGTGATACCTTTTTAAACTTTCCATTTGGTGCCTCAGGATTTCTCACAGACACCACCTGCACAAGAACTCATTGCAAGGGATCTCCATGATGTTGAATGGAAGTTTAGGCATATTTTCCGGGGTAAGTTCTAAAAGTTAGTCTTACATTTGTGTAATGTATATTAGCATTTTTTTTCATTGCAGTTGAGCCATAAAGTAATCAATCTAGACTTTTTTTTTTTTTGCAATTCGACTTGAATTAGTAATATTTCTTTCGTAACCATGATAGTCAAGATAGTCACTTCCCAAACATAGGCTGCAACATTATGAGCTTCTTTCACACCACACAAAGCTTAACAGATTTATAGATTATTGTGGGCAACTGTTGGTAGCTCAACATTAACAGTCTATGCTTTTATGATTATGAAAGATCAAATATAATCAATTGGCAAATGCTTATGTAAGGGGATAAATGAGAACTAGTGTTATAACTTTTTCCTAAATTGAATGCTGAGTGTGAGTGTGTGCTTTTTTTTTTGAGAGTGTGTGTGTGTAATTAAAACACCATCAAAGCTAGCTTGGGTTTTTATGGCTCCACCTAAACCCAATAGGGAGGTGGCAGTACAATGTCCGTGAATTGTACGCTTAGTTTGCATCTTATCTACACTCATAATTCCTAGTGAAAAGTAAAGCTACAGAACTAACTAAAATGCAAAAGAATTCTTGAGGTAGAACCATCCTCAGGGAATATTTCCTAATTCAAACTAATAATGATAAAATAAAATAAAACCAATAAAAATACAAAAATAACACAGAGCATGTTCGAGAAATAAGCTCTTATCTTATACGCACCAAGGTCCACAAAGTGCGTGTTAAAAGATAAGTCAAATAAGAATCATCATCCTTACTTAGTTGCTTATTAGGTGTCGGTCCCACAATTGGCTTACCTTTTTCCTCACGTTTTGTGGGCCCTAGTGCTAATAAGATAGCACCTTGGTGGCCAAACGTGCACGCAATCTCTTTTCCTGAAATAAACTTCAATTATGTTTCCATTGAAATCTCCATTAAGAGTACTTACAGTCAATGAAAAAGTATTGAGCCATTTGAACATTGCGAACAGAGCAAGGAAGTGGAACCAATCATTTATGAACATGTCCATGCTGATTTTTTTAAAATCATCTCATCCAAAATACTTGATTCTTTACTATTCTAGGAAACGTCACAGGGTTATTGGGGGTGAAACAACTTATTAACATAGAAACTGTTTCACAAATCTTAGCTACTGTGGTAAATGATATCCGGTGTTAAACCTAACTCCATAGTTAATGTTATCATCTCTGCCCTTTTTTCTCTCTATTTGTGTTTTTGATTGCATTTCCTTTCTTTCACACAGGCCAGCCTAAGAGGCATTTGCTTACTACTGGGTGGAGTGTGTTTGTCAGTGCCAAAAGACTTGTTGCTGGAGATTCTGTTCTTTTCATCTGGTAACTCCTACTATTTTGCAATTCGGAATGCCAATTTCAATTTTCTCACCAAAAGTCTTAATGAAGTTTAATTCAAGATGTCATTGATTCTTTTTCAGGAATGAGAAAAATCAGCTCCTTTTGGGAATTCGTCGTGCCACTCGGCCACAAACTGTGATGCCATCATCTGTTCTTTCAAGTGACAGTATGCACATTGGACTGCTCGCTGCTGCTGCTCATGCTGCTTCTACTAATAGCTGCTTCACGATATTTTATAACCCAAGGTGGTTGTGGATAAATAATATAAAATTCTATATATTTTATTTTGCTTCTTCTGACATGTTCATTACATCAGGGCTAGTCCATCTGAGTTTGTCATACCTCTTTCGAAGTACATCAAAGCTGCTTATCATACACGTGTTTCTGTTGGAATGCGTTTTCGGATGCTATTTGAAACTGAAGAATCCAGTGTTCGCAGGTTCAATAATACTTGAATCTTCAGTATGCCATACATTGTTGTTTTCCTTCTATTGTGATGATTAAACATCCTTAGTATTTGGTTAGTTAACAGCACATCATCTGGGAAGTGAAGAATAGAGACTTTTTACCATCTTTGGATATGAAGACGACAGACTGACCTGTATTGATAGTTTTGTTGCATCAAGTTAATTCTTCACCACAGTTAACTTTCTAATACATCACAGCTCATTACATTGTAATTTATCACTAAGATTATGAAGGTACAAACAGTTCTCCTAATGCGTGCCAAAATTACTGCAGTGATATCAGTGATGTGTGGAGAAATACCCCTACTTTGTCATGGATTCTGTAGTAAACTGAAATTATCTCATAACCTCTTCTGTGGTAGATAATGAAAAACTGTCATTAGATAACTGTAACAGATGTGGTAGGAATCGGCATATAAAGTGTTTGCATGGCTTTTTCTTTTTCTCGACCATTAGTCTTCTTATGCTTGGATGATTGCACGTCCAGATACATGGGCACAATTACTGGCATTGGTGACCTAGATCCTGTTCGTTGGCCAAACTCTCACTGGCGTTCTGTCAAGGTACAATGCATGCCTTTACTGTGCAAGATATAATTGTCAAGTATTCTGCTCTTAATTTTCATTTATTATATTTTATATCACTTGAATGCACTTAATGTTTTAGTTAAAGAGCTGAAAAACGAGCTAGTCAAATCTTTGCTCATAAAAGACGAGTTAGACAAATCTTTGCGTAACTCTGTCTTTTAATCTCATTTTTCTTGCTTAGCTTCTAGAGTTGGTTATGTTAGTTTTCCTTCTGCATAAGCTGGATCAATAGATACTGAATTGACATTGGCGAATTTTCAAAATAAATAAAAAATATACTTTAGACATCCACTTAAATAATCTGCTTTGACCAACCATGTATCACATGATAAGTGTCGAAGAAAAAAGGAATGGCTGGTGGAATTTAAGCCCTTGTGCCTATGCCCGATACCATGCACTAGCGATGCCTACAAGATAAACTCTCTGCATCCTAGAACTTTCATTTTTTGGACATCTCCAGAATGACTTTAAAAGTTATAACAGTTATTTTTATGAACTTCCCGTTGTTCGCTTTTGTCTAGAGTTACGATTTTTTTTTTTTTTTGGTTACCTTGCAACGTTTTTTGGCAATTAGTACCACAATATCCTGTGCTGTGATTAGAAAGGCCCCTGTTTTGCTTGGAAAAACATGTGCAGCATTTTAAGGAGTGCTTGAGATATCATTTAGCTTTTCTTTGGTGTAGATTAAAATCAGATTTTTAGTAGATTTTGATAAAATTTCATAAAATGTGTGGTTGAAAATTTGTGGGTCCTACGAAATGTATGCTTAAAATTAATTGTTGACTTTGATTTGAGTAAATATGTGAAAGGGAACGGATATGAAGTAGTGTATTCCAATATTTATAATTTCATATTAGTGCATTAAATAGACAAAATGAATAGCAATTGACAAAACTTAGATTATAATCATATATTTTAAATTGAGAACATATATGAAAGGGAATGGATATGAAGTATTGTATTCCAATATTTATAATTTCATATTGTCTGCATTAAATAGACAAAATGAATAACAATTGACAAAACTTGTAAGTTTTGAATCCTCATTATTTTCTTCATCTCTCTTCTAATATGGGGCAAAACGCAATCCTTAGCTGAACCTCAATGAGGTCAATATAAATTTGTCAAATTTGAACAAAAGTGATATCAATTAATGTTGCAATGAGTATATCAAATTATTAACATGACTTGTTCTTAATTAATGTGAACAATGTAAATAGCATATAAGCAGGATAAGTATGTAAAAAGTTATAGATTAACTTGCAAGAGTTTCAGCATTAGAGAATGTGGCTCAACTATTTCATGTTAATCATAATTATATTGTATAATCTAATTATGCATCCCAATCATGCCAATCACATCAATGTGGTTGGCCAGATTTGCTTATTTCGGTAAAGCGAATTAGAAAGCTATTCCATAGCTCCCATTAAGACGTGCACAGAGGGAATAGAACCATGGAAACTATGAACACTTCTGCATCCCATTTCCATCCATCCAACCCAACCCTATGCTTACCATGAGATCGAACTTAGCTCAAGGTCAAGCTCTTTGAATGGAGGAACTTCACAATATCATTCAGATAATGAGCATGGACGGATCTCAACTGTTAACGCACAATCAAGGCTGTATCTCTCCAGCTTAGGCTCATGGTCTGAAGATCATTTATTTGTTGTGTGTTTCTGTGCTTGCAAGCGGCAAGGGAGAGAATTTTGGAGGAATGAACATCGGGAGAACTTATATTATCCAACGGCTAAAAGGCTACATGCCATCGGAACCTAGAGACCAATATTGCTTATTGTTGTATATATTGCCTTACTGTACTTTTTACAATGACCATGGTATCTGTTTAATTATTGTTATTTTTGTCACTATATTTTTTAATTTTGCTACTCTAGCACCCGTAACCTAAAATAGTGAAGAGTATCCAGGTTTATGTTTTATTAAGCGTTTCTTATCTTTGAAATTGTTCGGTGAGGCAATGAACTTCCTGATTATGCATATACAAATGAGATCCAATTAATCTCACCAGTGATATTGTTAACCATGCCTTACCAGTACCTTCTGTTAGACCCGTTACTTACTGACTCTTCTTCACTTATTTTCTTTGAATTTGTAGGTTGGTTGGGATGAATCCACAGCAGGAGAGAGGCAGCCACGGGTATCATTATGGGAAATTGAACCCTTGACTACATTTCCAATGTATCCCTCTTTATTTCCTCTCAGGCTGAAACGACCATGGTATTCAGGGGGATCATCTTTTCAAGGTATACTTCCTGCCCCCAAATTTATTTATTTATTTATTTTTAACAGACAAGTAACCATATAACTGTGGTGAAGCATATCATGAAACAGGAAGCGGCATCTCATTTATCACTAGTGCATCATTCAATACTGAACTAGTTTAGTTTGATTCCTTTTCTGTGTCTTTTCTTAGAGGTCTTCATGTATTCATATGAAAAGGATTTCAAATGTGGAGGCATTATACCAAGTATATTTGTCGGAATTTGGGGCTTCAAATCAACCAAAACCGAGCTCAGATTAAACCACAATCGAACCACCACAATGCAAACCCAATCTCCTCCAAACCGACACCAACCCAAACACCGGTTGCTCCCAATATTTAGCCCACAAAGGACAAGGTGTGGAGTGTTAGTAGCCTCAATAATCAGCCACCATGGCCAAGGGAAGAAGAGGAAGAATAGTCAAGCACAAAGCAAGTCCCAAATTTATTTATTTATTTTTTTTAACAGAAAAGTAATCATATAACTGTGGTGAAGCATATCATGAAACAGGAAGCGGCATCTCATTTAACACTAGTGCATCATTCAATACTGAACTAGTTTAGTTTGATTCCTTTTCTGTGTCTTTTCTTAGAGGTCCTCATGTATTCATATGAAAAGGATTTCAAATGTGGAGGCATTATACCAAGTATATTTATGTTTTACTTCCATGTTTCTCTTTTTTTGCTTCTTGTTGGAGGTGTGTGTAAAAAATTAAATGGGAGGCAACTGGGTTTGACTCGTTCTTGTCATAATAGGTCTTTGTTGCACACATTATTAAAGTAACATATTTGGGTTCTAAGTCTCACTGCCACCAATTTATTAAGATTGAAGTGGGACAAAATTTAAATGAATACAAGTACCCACCCCACCCCACCCCCTCCCTTGGCTATTGGCTTGAGCTTTCAGATGGGATGGTTCATAATGTCCTAAACTCAAATGCCACAACTTTATTTCTCTCTTTAACTCAAAAACCTGAGGCACATTCTCACGCTCTTTGAATTGATTTTCAAAAATTTTCTTATAGAAATGAAGGCTATTATCAACTTAACACCATCAATCTTCCCCCCCCACCCCAATACATAACTTCAGCTTCACAATTTAGTTAGATCTTCTGGAAGTTTTCTACTAGAGATCAAATTGCAAGACAAATTAGGGATATGAAGAATAGGGTTTAAAATTGAATTTTCTGATATTTTAATTGTTTTTTTTGAGATGAAGAATTTGGTAGAGATTGGGGTTGGCTCATAATCCTGTATAGGAACTCTAATTGTTCTTTGGAGGAAACAGGGATGGAATCCGTAGGTTGTGAAGGCAGCAGAAGCTTGGAATTTTTCTCTTAAATAGCTTGATAACCAAATATTTGGATTTGGTCCTTCTCAGTTTGGGATTCAGCGTCCCAAGTTCCAGCACATCTTGTGTTGTGGCCTGATCTTGCTCTAATAACATCAAACTCTATCTTCAACAAAATGTTTCTTACCTTCATTCCTCGGTCCATGACCAAAAAAGGCAGCATCATTTCTGTTTGCCACCAACACTAGGTTCTCAAAAATACCACTTCCAGCAGTCGTCCCTTGTATCTCCCATCGTCAAATGAAACTTTCTTCTTTTCTAATTGCAGCAAAATACTACTATTATCAATGGACCCAATTCACCAGGCACTCTAATTTGAATAGGTCTTCATTCAAACCTGCAAAGATCAAAAACCGTTTCCTTCTCAAATTTCTGCTTATATACATCCATTTCTTGCCAAAGATGATCCAAATCATTGAAATGATTAGTAGCAAATAGATTAAATTGCCTCATCCTTTGAAGCTTCCCTTCAATTCATACAACTGAGAATCATTTCCTATATTTGAATGGATAAGTGTCTCAACGTCCGAGCTTTGACTACTAATGTGAGAAACAAATAGCTTTGACTACTAATTCCATGGAGTTGATGAGCCAAGTCATCATAATAAAATTCTCAGAATCCCCGTGTTATAGGCTCTGGGGATCCTACGAATCTGGTACAACCCGGGAACCATCTAGTAGTCCCATTTTTCCTCTGCCTTGTACAAAGAATTTGACAAGTTGTGTCCTTTGTTAGAAGTACTGGCCATTTAGTTTATGGGTAATAATTTGTAGAGAGAGATTCTGACAGGAAAGTGAAGGTGAATTAACAGAAGACATGGTTGTTTCGAATATGTACGAGGCCACTTCTGACATTTTTTTCTGACTTGAGATTTTTTCTGGTTTCATAATACACTTGGTAAATTACTAATTACGGTTCCCTAACAGCTAAGGATATTCCATAAAAATTAATAAATTGATTTAGCTGGTAGTTTACAAAACACACGATTTTCTAGCTGATTCACAAATATTCCTGGCTTTTAATCAATTCCGTCATTGAATCCTTCCTAGTACTTGCAATAATTGTCACCGTCTTGGAAAGACCTCAATAATTATGTCAAGTATAAATGCTAGGAGATGAAACATGAGGAGCCAGTAATTATAGACTTGAAGTAGATAACTAACAATCTGACCCAAATTTGAGGTCACCACCTAAAATCTAAAGCCAATATCATAGAGAATGGTTCATAAAATATAATAAGAAGAAGCATTCTCATGATATTCCAAATCAGGGGAACTACAAGAACTTGAATAAGTTCAAGAACAGTTGCTGCAAAATTATCATGATGTTCATTTAGAAGATAATCAGAACCCTAAAAACTTCCAGAAGAATGATCTAGCCAATGCGACTGAATTAAACCAAGAATCCGAAGGATGTCAAATATGAATCTCTGTTGTCTTTAAATGCAACTGTCTGTAACTCCTGAAAATGGTGGATGGACAGTGGGGCTACTCGCCACATTTGTGTCAACAAGTCAATGTTTTCTTCATACAATCAAGTTAATGGAGAATAATTGTTTACGGGAAATCCTCTAGCTCTGAGGTTGAAGGACAAGGGGAAGTGGTACTCAATATGACTTCTAGGCGAGAAACTTGTCCTTATTCCTTAATAATGTGCTACTTGCGTCCGACATTCATAGCAGTCAATGTTCGTGTCTTTCGTTCAAGATTGAGATGCTGCTTCTATCCTCAAGACCTCGTACATGAGAGGGAGCAAATTTGTCTCAAGTACACAACATGAAGGTGTCAGGCTCAGATAATTTTGAGTTCGTTTTTATTTCAGCTTACACATTTCTCTTGCACTATACAAGTTCTGGTATTGTAGGAACATTAGATACAATTAATTATTCTTCTAAAGGGGCCTACTATGTGTAATTAAATGTATTCTCCAGTGGTAAATGAAATTAAAGCTTATACATGAGTAATATATCACCATACTGCTTGTTTAATGCTTCTGAACCAAATATGTAGTTTTCCAGTCCTTTTATATGGTCAAGTGTTATCCTGTGCTCCAATCTCAGATGGCAGTAACGACACAATAAATGGCATGGCGTGGATGAGAGGTGAAACTGGTGAGCAAGGACTCAATTCTTTGAATTTCCAGTCTGTTGGTATGTTTCCCTGGATGCAGCAGAGAGTTGATCCAACAGTCCTACGAAATGATCTTAATCAGCAATACCAGGCTATGCTGGCAGCAGGTTTGCAACATTGTGGAAGTGGGGATTTGCTCAAAGAACAACTCATGCAGCAGTTCCAGCAGCAGCCTGTTCAATATCTTCAACATTCAGGCAACCATAATCCCCTGTTTCAGCAGCAGCAGCAGGTAGTACAGCCATCAATATCTTCACATATGCTCCCCACACAAACCCAAATGCTGTCCGATAATTTGCAGAGGCCAACACAACAGCAAGTCAATAATATGTCTGAAGAACATCAGCAACGACATAATTATCAGGAATCATTTTTAATGCAACGTGATCAGCTTCAACAGAGGCAGCCATCTGATATTCCTTCCCCTTCATTCACAAATTCGAACAGTACATTTGCAGCATCTATTGCTCCTGGAATGCATAATATGCTGGGTTCACTTTGTTCCGTAGGGAGTGGTAATCATTTAAGTTTCTCAAGACCTGATGAGTCAATACCCAAAGAGCAGTCACCCCAACAATCCTGGGTAGTAAAATTCTCTCAGCCACCAAACAGTAATTGTTCAAATTCAACATCACTTCCACCATATTCAGGAAAAGACACTTCTGCTGAGCAGGGAACATGTAGCTTGGATGCCCAGAATCATTCTCTTTTTGGTGCTAATATTGACACTGTGGGGCTCTTGCTTCCTACCGTTGTGTCTAGTATTGCTACTTCTTCAGGTCATGCTGAAATGTCCTCTATGCAGCTGGGGACTTCTGGGTTTCAGAATCCTCTTTATGGTTTTGTGCAAGATTCGTCCGAGTTGTTGCATAACACAGGACAAGTTGACCAACCTGCCCCAAGCTGTACCTTTGTCAAGGTGTTAGTCAGATGGTGTATTTGCACTTCTAAACATGTCTACTTTTGTTATGGGTAAGTTATGATAATTTCTTCATTTCTTTTCGTGCAGGTTTATAAATCAGGGTCGGTTGGTAGGTCACTTGACATCGGCCGGTTCAACAGCTATCAGGAGCTGCGTCAGGAACTAGGTCAGATGTTTGGGATTGAAGGGTTGCTTGAAGACCCTAAAAGATCAGGCTGGCAGCTTGTATTCGTCGACAGGGAGGATGATGTGCTTCTCCTTGGAGACGATCCATGGGAGTAAGTATCTTGATAATCTAAGCTTTTTTCTTTCTCAGCGAGTTAATTTCTTAGGCATTCTATTGCCTTCAATTTTCAGTTTTGTGCTATTGTAAAAGCTATAGGAAAATGCTTAACATGGCTAAATCTCTCTCTCATTTTTTTCTTATTACACTTCTGTATGTGAACTTATTTTATGGATCCTCGTTCACTTTCTGTTTCATCTTGGGATCTTGAAAAACGACTACTTTGAAATTGACCGTAGTGCATGAAATTTACAGGGCATTTGTGAATAATGTCTGGTATATCAAGATTCTTTCTCCCGAGGATGTGCAGAAACTGGGAGAAAAAGAGGCTCGGTCATTGAGTCGAAGTGCATCTGAAAGGATAAAGAATGCAGATGGCCAAGACCTTGTTGGACTCTCATCTATAGGGTCACTTGAATACTGAAAAACTGATGTTTCTCACAAGACACTGGATCGCAACTCTTTCTTCTGCAGTGCCTCAAGAAGTTGCTCATATATACATTCTATATGGCTTGATAGGATTTGGCCTTTTCTTCATTTTGTGTGCAGTAAAATTTCATTGCAATGACAACGTCTCTTTAGTGAACATGAACTTAAGAGTTTAAGCATATTTGATTTCGACTAAGAATCCTGAACCTCCCTTGGTCGATGTATTTCGTGAACTAAGAGTTAATGGACATTGCTTCAGAACATTTTGTCGTTTCTACCTTCAGTTCGTTAATGTGCTTTTGTTCTCATGGCATTGTGATGGAAATAATTACTAGCAATACCTTTGTGCGTGTTTGCTTCTTGCTAAACTTAGGTTGATCGTATAAATTTTTGGTATTCTTATCAGTTCTTGGCTACGTTTATCAACAAGTTGCTTGACGGTTATGATAAGCCGTGTTAGCTAGCTTTTACTTGCATCTCTCTTCTAGGCAAATGTCATCTTTGGTCATTCAACTTTTAGTGAAACTCAATTAGGTCACTAAAATTTCATTTGTCTTAAATGAGTTGCAGAACTTCCATTTAATTTCTGTTGGGTCACTAAACTCCAATTTGGCTTCAGAACATCTCCGCTCCTCTCCCAAGTTGATGAAAATTTACTTAATTGGTAGAATATACTCTTACCTCTAATTAAGACAATCACTATAAGAAAATGAGAATGTCCAGATGCACCATCCAGTCTGATTTTAAATAATATCCCCACCACTAGCAAATCCTTAACATAACCATTTGATTTTGTGAGATCCCACATTCCCACCAATGAAGTATACCAGAAAACAAAGATAGGGGGTAATGGGGAAGGAGGGGTCAAGTAGATACCAAACAAAAGGGCGATATCTAGATCCTCTAGTCAATTGATAGATTGAAATAAACGGTATGTATGTAGAAGAGAGATGATGCGGTAAACCTTCCGTATGATACATTGACGCCCATACTAATTTCCGATGCTTTGCATCATTTCTCCTGATCCAAATAATCCAAAAGATCAACATAGGGATGATAGTACGAATAGGCCGCATTGAACAAACTATCCTGAGAATCGCCATCTCTGAGGACAATAAAGCACACCTCTATATCTAAGCGATAATATGTCAGCAAAGTGGCGCCATACATGGTCAAATATACTACTACTAGTGAATAAGTGTAGGATGGTCTCTATCTCTGAGCAATATTGGCAGCAACGAGGCCAAGTGACAACCAATTTGTCATTGAATGGAAAATCAACTGGTAATACCACGATTGGCAGTATAAGAAGGATACTGTCGTAGGTATGATGGGATTCCATAACATCCGGTACCTATCCTAAACTGGGCGGCCAAATCGAAGCTGGCATGTAGAATTGGTAGCAAAGTTATCATCTGGCATATCCCTTCACATAATCTAATCAGGGGCCTCTGAACATAAGAGTATCCTCTTATTGCTCTCCATCATAGTGGATGAAAGCAAATGTAGTAAGTGGTCAAAATTCCACCCAGCATCATCAAAGAAATCTTGAACCCTCATAGAAGTGTGACGTCGATGAGGAAATAATGATGCAATATAGAGTCCCCTATCCAACAATCATGTCAAAAGAATATATGTCATACGCCAAGATGACAATCAATGTGTGACTCGGACTGTGAACCAAATAGCTTTAGTCGCCTCAATGTCGATAACTCTATGGAACATATGCAAGTAGTGGGTGAGTACCTGTGCAATATTCGACAATAAAAAATGAGCCCATAAAGACCTCTAGTACGAAATAACACCAGAGCTTTAGAGAGAATGTATCAACAATGTCCTAGTCCCCTAAAGCCCAATCCACCCTCGTCAGTGGGACGGCAAAGCTCCTTCCATATTCTCCAATATATTAAAACAATTTTAAATTTCCACCAAAGATTTGCAATGTGTTTAGATAGAAACTGTGATAAGGATAATATCTTTGATGAATTCTGCAAACTCCTTTGCTGATTCTCAAACTCCAATGATCACAATCTGCAATCCAAGCTGTCCAACTGTTCAGCCTCCAATGGTGATCCACACAGATAACAAGAATGACGGCTAGAGTTCCTTTTCTTGTGCTGACAAGAATAATGAAAAATCTCATACAATTTACAAACCCTAGCAACCTATTAATATAAGTCCAAATGGGCTGGCCCATCTCTAAACTTAACACGGTCCGATATTTAATTAATCAAATTAATTAAATCCAGTCTATGAATTAATTAATCCAATTAATAATTTGGGCATATTAATAAGCAATTCAATTAATTAATTATTCAACACTTTTCAATTAATTAATTGGTAAATTTCATTCTTATGGTTCTCTTTTGTGTGTGACCCATTAGGTTCCCGATCAAGATATCTAATGACATGAATTATTATTTTGATCTAATCAAAATCGATAAATTAAAGCACCCCTTTTAATTTATCACTAATTCACATTCGTCGTCCCAAATTGACATCGAGCAATGTGTCAAGGCAATACATGTGATGGGAAATGTCACATGATGTGACAAACCAAACTTGTTCGTTTATCGTGAAATTATAATCCTTTCGTCAATATGATCTGATCAATGATGAGATATGGATATGTGTCAATCTCAATTATCGATCATATCTTTTATCCCAATGTTAAGTCAATATAGTCGAAAACTCTTTTTCGACTTATGAGTTCACTTGGTCAAGGATTTCATTATTAATTTAACTGAATAAAATGTTGATCATAATCTCTTACTATCTAAGAGTGACGAATCCTCTATTGATCATTCACAACCTTCATATGATTCTTGACATACCCGAACAATGCTGTATTAGCGACCCTTGGCGGAGCAACATCCAACATCATCAAAGTATGACTGTCCTCATATAAGGTACTATAATGACCTCAAGTCAAAGAACCAATTCTACTACTGGACGTTAGAGATTAACCACTAACACTCAGATAATTANCACGGACGATTTAAGATTCAGTCATATGTAATTTGTATCTCACAATCACAATTCCTTGTGATTAACAAATCACCAAAACTTGAATCTACGGATTCTATTATTTAATTTATTAGAATATTAATTCAATTAAATAATAGATATTGCCATACATATTCATCAATTATATATATTTAAAGTGTTTATATCCAAAATTGATTGGACTTTGGGCATAACACTTACACTCCTGACTCCTAAATAGGTAAATGGTTTTTGCTAATGTCGAAATCTAGGCAAGTGCTCAAGTCTCCTAATCTGACTGGTGGATGCCCTTCAAGGCAGAATGAGTCTACTCTTGTCTGAATTCACCAACTGGCCAGAGATTCCCTCATAACATTCCAAAAATTAAGCAATCTTTGAATAGATTATTTCTGGCCATGGGCAAAAATGATCATATCATCAGAGAAGGACAAAAAGGAAACAAGTATAGAACCTTCATGTCGTATCCCATAATAGGATACATTTGGAACTGATGTGTAAGTAGACGTGAGAAATGGTCTACGAATATGAAAAACAAAGATGGTAAGATGGGGTCTTCCTGTCGAAGTCCTCTAGACGAAAGAAAGAATCCACAATTCGACCATTAACAATTACCGATAATGACACTTCGAGATGCACCGTAATCGGTCAATCCACAGATGATCAAATCTGAAGCCCCCAAGATAGAAGAAATGAATCCCTAATCTATGCGATCATATGTCTTAGCCATGTGAAGATTAAGGATAAAAATTTATTCATCTCACTCTAGAATCCAAGGTATGGAAAAGCTTTTGAGCCAACAAGACATTATATCCAATCAGTCATTTCGGGGATAAACCTGCTCTGAATGAAAATATGATGCACGAAAGCAACGAACTCAACCAAGTGTTCAATAACTTCATGGTAATCTTATTAAATATAGTGTAAAGATTGATAGGGCGGAACTCCAACCATCCACAAGCACCGTCCCTCTTAAAGAGCCAGCTACACTATCGACATCAATGTTAAAAATTGCCTTTCGTACCTCATTAATCGAAGGTAGATGATTAAGTTCCATGTTAACTGCCTCTCTCACTGGTCTATGAATGATCTCTAATCTAATATAGGTTAGAGGTTGTAAAGGAGCATATAAGAGGTGATAGCCGAGTTCTGAATATCATGAAGAGTAGAAAGAAATTTCCTTAACTATGTCCTAATGGACCTGATACAAGATCGAACATGGCATTCCTGAACTATTGAACGAAAGTATTAGGTGTTGTGGTCTCCCTCGTACACCTAATGTGAATCGACCTTTTGTTTCCAAAAACCTTCATCTTAGACCAAATTCAGTTCAAAGTAGCATGTACTCGATATAGAAGTTCTCAGTGATTTGATGTAGGCTCTATATCAAACACTCTGTCTTCCACATCTACTTTATACTGAGCATCTCTCACATGCTAAAAGATATTACCAAATACGTATCGATTTCACCAATGTAGTCCCCATTTTAGCCTAAATAATTTCTCTAAAAGAGCATCAATCCTCATAGGATGAGTGGGAAGTGTCCACTTTTGAGATATAAAGGCTAAAAAGTCATGATACTTTGTCCATACATTTAGGAATCGAAATGGTGTTGGTATTGAATCATCTTCAGAAGACTACTGAAGAAGTAAAGGCACATGATCCGAAGATAACAAATCATACCATGTATATTACTTTGTTTTAACACTTCCGCATACCTTTTCGTTACAATTTCTTTCTCATTAACAAAATTAATTTTCTATCTTTATTTCTTCTACCTTCTCCATAATTGAACTTATGGTCGAGTATCTAACTACATTAATAATATACGTTATCTTATTTTCATTTTCAAAAAATATATATATATTATTTTTTCCACTGTCAAGCTTCATCAAAGAAAATATTATTGGATTTCACCCCAAAACTTGCGATTTTTTTTCCAATGACTCTTTTTACTTCTAATTACTCAGGGTTCCATTTGGTTAGTCTTTA